ACGTGTTTTGGGATTCATGTTTGTGGAGCTTTTTAGGGGAGGGGCATGATAATTTGTATTTTTATTTGAAATTTTTAATGACCCACAGCATAATTTGTCCTAAGCCCTGGGTCTAAGGCTCAGTGGTAATCTGCGTACTTGTTCTTTACTAAGCAGAGACCCTCTGGTAGAGATCATAAAGCTGAGACAGGTGTGGCTTCAGTGGCGGTGCTTCTTCCAGTTTGCAGAACCTCATGCTTTTGGGGATGATGACAGCAGCAACAGGGGCAGTTAACTCTTCGGGCAATTTTATGAATCCTTTCAAGCATCTTTTTTTTTTCTGGATTATACCCATTTCTCATATGAGTAAACTAAGACTCAGAAAGAAACAAATTGCCTAATATCACTCAGGCCCTGTTCTAAGCCCATTCCATGTGTGAACTCACTTAATTCTCCCAAGACCCAGTGAAGGAGTTAATATTATACTCATTTCCCAAACCAGGAAGCAGAGGCACAGAGAGGTGAAGTGACCCCCTCAGGGTGCACAGCTGGCACGCGGCCGAGCCAGGATTGGAGTGGGGGCTCCATGCAGTGTGGCTCCTTACTGCTCACACTCTTACGATGTCAGACCCTCCTCTCTCTGCCACCAGGATCTTGCTCCCCTGCCTGCCCCAGTCGTCATGCCCATAGTCTTCCCGCCCCCTGGCACATATACTCATATTCTCAGCTCAGGTGGCTTCCCCCAGCCGTGGGTCCCCTGGAGCCAGACATCAAGGAGGATATGGGATGAGAAGAGGGTACTTGACATAGCAGTCCTATGACTTGTAAAAGGAAGGGTTGAACTGATGGGTTCCAAGGTCCTATCTGACCCTAGCATTTCGAGGTTCTGCATTCTTGAATGGCTGCCGTGCCCCATAGCAGGGTATACAACCGGCAGAAAGCTGGAAGGCCAGTGGGCGATGCTCTTTCTAGGACAGGGTATTTGCTTTGATCTGGACTTTTTCTTAGGATGTCTTTAGAGAATGCAGGCAAATTGGCACCATCCTGCTTATCAAGAGATTTTTAAGAATTGAAGAAATTAAAGAACTCAAAAGACTGCAGGCCCGTTGGCACCATCCTGGTTTACCAAAGCAAGGGGTGGATCCTGAAGTTAGACGGTTGCTATGACGCAGGCGCCTTCCACGCCCACAGACGCTGCCCACTGTACCGACCCCAGGACCCGGTCTCTGGCATGAGCGTCCTCACAGATAGTAGTTGAAAGAGTTTGAACAGGGGAGATGAAAATGAATGGAATGGGGAAAATTGGGAGGCCAGAAGAGCAACTGGAGGCCTGCTGTAGTGGTCCAGGCAGGGGCGGGGCTGACTCTGGAGGTGGGCCTGGCAGGCCCTGCTGTTCGGTACTTGGATGGGGGCTGAAGAACAGCAGTGGTCGACACTGATGCCCAGGTCTCTGGCTCAGGTCCGTTCACCGAGGGAGCGAGGTCCCAGGCGGAGTAGGCTTGCTGTGCAGATCCTGAGTACAGATTTAGACAGGAAGGGTTTTACCAAGTCTGGTCCAGAGTTCACATCAGAGGTCCAGACTAGAGAGAAGGATC